ATTATAACCTCACCAATATCGAATTTCAACACTCAAATCGCAATCAGTTCCTGAACCGAACATTGACAACACGACTCTTCTAACCATCCTCATATTCTATTGGTCACCGTAACAAAACTTCAAATTTGATTTTATGACTCTTCAGCCAATCATAAAACTCGATTAGTAAAAATTATCCAATAGGAACCGCCCATTCTTCAGTCCACGTGGACTAATTCGTTGCGGCATTATTACTTTGTATTGGTTTTTTTGGCTGTTGAGTTCGCCGAAGCTTTAAGAATCACTATATCGGTTACTTCGACTATAAATAGCCTCAGTAGTGTTTTTAGGTCTCAGAAACTGAAAGTGTTCAGTTGAATGAATACAGAACGGTCACTGCATGAGTGAATTGAGTGAATTATGTTTCTGAAACTGTGTTACTACTCACTTTAAAGTTATTACGGAAGTCATTGAAATGTCCCTCGAGCAGTTTCCACAGCAACTAACTTAGGGTTCCTTATTAACAAAGAGGACTGTTTCTCTCATTATGTGGAAACTTATGAGGGTAGAGTGTTGGTTTCAAACTTCATTATACAGTCAATGCATTTTTTTTTATTTCAAAGAACTCCCACTATTTCCCATTACCGAGACTCAATTTCGTAACATACATCATTCGAAATACATATACATAGGTACATATACACATGAGATGCAGTAATAGTATATTTCAATAATGGATGTGCTGAAAAAATCTGTGGGATTGGAAGATTTCTTAGGAAAAACTTGTCTTTTATACAGGGAACTCAAGCACGAGCCTAGCCTCTGCGAGTTTAAGCAACATTTATTCATTTCTGTGGGATGACAATCAAATATTGACTCATGTTGTTCCAAAAGTGTTGTCAATTTTGATGTCATGTGTTTTTGTAGCTCCATATTTCAATAAATATCGATTTCACTGTGTCGTCTATAAACTAATCGATAAAGAATTCTGTACTCTATACAGTGCATTCCGAGCCACCTCAAATAACTTTTGGTACAATGATTTTCATGAAAAAAAAAACGTCAACAACAGTATACAGGGAGACATATTTTGACATATTCACATTTGGTGTTACTTCCCCTATCGCACTCCCAAAGGATGTCACCATTATTTTAAATGGATCAATTGTTTTGCATTATCAGATGTTCCATGTAAACATATTTCAACAAAGTAGATACATTATGGTCCGAAACCCATCGTTAGGAAGCTAAAAATTATTTGAGTTGAAAACTATTCACTCTGAATGAACTTCTATACAATCTGTTACCTAGGTTTCGTAGTTGTTTTTGTGAAGTATACTTCAAAAAAGTCTTATTCTGCTTAGTTAATGACTCGAATCATTGTCCACAACACAAAATGGCGGCACTACAATTTCTGGTACACAGGTTAATAACTTTTTCTTTAACGAAAGATAAGTACGACAATGAAAAGAGAGTAATTCGATATGTAGCTCAAGCAAACGGTTTTAACCCAGATATAGTTGACAAGATAATTAGAAAATGCAAGTTTAGGGAAGCACTTCGTAAATTTTCTATAACAAGTTTATAGTAATCCCAAATGAACCCCAATACACGAGAGGGCTTCAACAGATACCTATTCGATAAAGTAAATATAAAAGTTGCATATAAAACTTCTTATAAATTGCAACAGCTTCTTGGTAATCCAAAAAATAGACTAGAAAACACAGAATAGTCGGGGATTTACGAAATCAGTTGTCAAGTTTGCAACAGCAAATACATCGGCCACAGCCGACGAGCCATTAAAACCCGCTTCAAGGAGCATTGTGCACACATGAAATACGGAAGGAAAGAAAAATCTAGTGTCGCCCAACGTGCGCTAGACAAGGACCACAGAATTGGTAAAAACAATCTGAAACTGATTAAGCATGTGCATGCCACCAGGCTACTCGATGCATGTGAGAGTCTAGAAATAGCAAAATGTAAGAACAGCATGAGTGGCGATAAGGGACCCATCCCGTTTAGCCCGCTTTTTAATCTTCTGTTAGGAAGAGAATAATCACTAAGAACTTGCAGGTAGTTAATTACCGAGAAATTCCATATTGGACTTCAGGTATACAACCTCAGGTAACAAAGTTTAGTATATAAGGATTAACCAGACTAGACTAGGTATCAATTTTCTCCTCCTGAGGATGCTAACTTTGTTGGCGAAACGCGTGTCGACTGCAAAAATATCAGTTTGGTGTTAGGGCAATTGATCTCGAACAAAGTTATTCAATTGCCTAGTTAAGTTTGAATTCGATATTCTCTTCATTTTGTATTTGTCTCATTCTACAATAACGATTTCCTACCAGGTAAAGTTACAATTGGTGTTTCGGTTTTTGTGAATTCTTGAGAAGCAATGGTTTATACGCTTCGAGAACGGATTGAAATAGTGAGTTTGTAATACCCGAATGGAAATAGTGGTAGAGCCGATGCCCGTGTGTTCAATGATAATCATCCAGGAAGAAATGTGCGACACAAATACGTTTCGGAATCATTGAACAAATTTATGGAGACTGGATCTGTTAACAATAAAATGTATAACCGTTCAGGAGTTGTCAACGATGAAGCTATTAGTATTGCAGTTTTAGGGCACGTTGGACTAATGGAAAATTCGTAATCTCTTACTAAGTTATCTTGAGAATCAGAAATCAGTCATACAAATGTTTTCAGGATCCTTCATAAGTACAAATTTCATCCATATAAGATAAGACTAGTTCATGAATTGAACGAAGGTGATTTCGATAGACGTATCGAGTTTTTTTTTCTGATTCATTCGGACGTTACTTGATGAAGATCCATAGTAATTTCAAAAACTGTATCTCACGATTTCATCTTCACAAACTTTATTTTGAAAAAATAGCGAAACATTTGATATATTTTTTCAAAATAAAGTTTGTGAAGAAGTTTGTAAGGTGTAGTTTTTGAAAAAAAAGTATTGCTAAAATCAGCTGCTACTACAAAAATTATTTGATCATTCAACAGGTTGCACCCGCAATGTTCATGCTTATGAATTTCCAGGGATTCCAAATAATTGAGTTTGCAACCCTTCCTAATATAGTGCAAAATTTCCGTACCTATCATTTTGATTCGGGAACTTGTGGTTGCAAGGAAAGGTTTGAAAACGTCGAATCATTTTTACCTAGTCTGAAAGACATTTCATGTTCAACATAACGTTTTTGGAAATTTCGACCACATTGTCCCGCATAAACACTGTTACACTTAAGCTCATGAACTCCAGATTTCTCCAACTTGTCCACTTTATCTTCGACATTGAAAAGGAATTAGGTTACCTGAAATGTGGTCTGTATGCCACGTCCACATTATTTTTGCTGAAGAAACCTGCAATTAATATACCCCCAGATCAAACAATCAGAAATCAAGAAATGGTAACTCTAACATATTTTGGTAAAAGAACAGAGATAATTGCGGGTTTCTTCAGAAAAAACAATGTGGAAATGGCATTCAGACCACATATCAGGTTATCTATTTCCTTTTCAATGCCAAAGATAAATTGAACAAGTTGGAGAAATCTGGAGTTTATAAGCTTGAGTATCCGGAGTGTAATAGTGTTAATGTGGGACAATGTGGTCGAGATTTCCAAAAACGGTATGCTGATCATGAAAGGTCCTTCAGGCTAAGTATAAATGATTCGACGTTCTCAAACCATTCCTCGGTATGCAACCACAAGTTCCCGAATCTAAGGAAGGGTTACAAACTCAATTATTTGGAATCCTTTGAACATTGCGGGTGCAACCTGATCAAATCGATCTAATTTACTCACCGATTTTCAAATTAGCATATCCACATTGTCGCAAGCAAACAAAATTCAGATACTCATTTAAACTAAGTACCTACAGTGATGTTATATAAGGGCTAATGTAATTGATCATTTTTGGTTTAATGTATGAGTTTCAGTCTCCAACATAAAAAGTTTCAGTCTCCAAAGTCTTCAAAAAGGACCAAACCTTTCAAACAACTTGTACAAGTACCTTGGAAAGTAACACTTCAAGATGAGAATTTCTGATTTTATTATTTTATTTGGAATATTCATTGAATTGTGACACATTCAAGTAATGTCCCAGAAGATACGTACCTCTTGAGTCCGATATTTAGAATCGATTCATGTTCATGTTTTCACACTGCTGTAGTTATTATAGAGAACAGAATGTGAACGATAAAAAAATATTCAGAAGTATAAGATATAAACTTAAATGTATGGAACGCCATTTTACTTTTCATTGTCACAATTTATTCAACTAACAATTTATTTGTTTGAATTTAATTGATTCATGCATTTGTTCGACACATTAAAAACGATTGTTAGCAGAATTTGTTATAATCAAATGATACTTGATTTGAAATGTTACATGAATTAATTTGTTTGATGGAAAGTTTCGAACAGTTATAATACAGATCATTGTTTGAAATATTTGGAAGTAAATGTTTGATATTAATTGATTCATGCATTTGTTCGACACATTAAAAACGATTGTTAGCAGAATTTGTTATAATTAAATGATACTTGATTTGAAATATTACATGAATTAATTTGTTTGATGAAAAGTTTCGAACAGTTATAATATAGATCATTGTTTGAAATTTTTGGAAGTAAATATTTGTCACATATAGGTACTTTTTTGTAACTATCGAATAATTTACTACAATTTCTATGAAACATGAATAAAATTGTTTGTTGATAATTATAGTTACATGAATTAAAACGATTGTTGATAATTTTAATTCGGCGCTAGCTTCGAGCGGATTCTTGCATGGAATGAATATTTGTGACAATAGAAAGTAAAACGGCGTTCCATACAAATGATGTAAATGTTAACGAAAAACAAGTAAAAATGACCTGAATGAAAAATGGGCTGATAATTTGGGTTGAAAAAAATCATCAGCAATGTGTTTTTTAACGAATCCGTATTCAGGTTTCTACATTCATTGTCTCATTCATGAGTAACATCAAAATCACTCACCTAATGGATCGTAACATTGCTTTTGGAACTGGGATCCCTTCGTTGCTCCTAGAAGTCCCAATATAGCCTGCGGAAATTCGGTTAACAGAAACAACAAGAGAACTGCCACTAGCATTCCTGTAGTTCTGTCCGCCTGTCTGTCTTTTTTCCTCATCGGCTTCGACTCGTTGAGATTTCTCAAGGGCACTCCCTGGTTCAACAACATATTTTTTCTCTTTTTCGTCTCCAAAAGAACCATAACTAACTTCCGAGACAGATGTGTTAGTAAAGTACAGGGAACAAGTTTAATTACTACCGCGTATATCCAGAAACTCCAAACAGAGTATGTGTCGCTCACGTATGTAGTTACGTATATTGTTTTATGAAGGATGTTTGAGCTGTTAAGCAACATCGTGTCATTATCGATGATTTTGTCTTGGATGTCACAAGATTGGTTATGGGGTTTGATTTCAAGTGCCACGAACAACGGAAAGCAAATCAGGGTGCAGCCCAGATACGTGAAAACAATTACAGCAACTGTTTTTTTGGTGTCGCACCAGTAGCTGCTGTTGTGAGGGGAAGTTATAGCGAGATACCTCCAAACTGCTAGAATCACCGTTAAACAACAGGAGATGAAGTGAAACATTTGGCTGAAGAGAGCGTGGAACATCATAAACACTGCCCAGTTGTACGAATAGTGCTGGATGAAGTTCCTCTGCTCCAGGTTGATATATCGGTGGAGACAGAACGGCAAGTATTCCAGCATGACCAGTAAATCAGCCACCGCGAGTCCCGTGAGGATGAAGTTGGTCGGCCATCGCATTTCTTTCGTCGTTAGAACACATATGTTTAGGATGTTCGCTACTGAACCGAAAACACAAACGAAAAAACTCAGCGGACCGTGTATCTCCTGGTAACCTTTCGCGAAGGCTTGCAAATCACAATATTTAGTGTCATTCATGTTCAGCTTTTCAAAGAATTCACTACGTCCGGCGTTGATCAAAGTTGGTTAAAGTTCTGGATGAAGCGTTCGCTCGCGCTCGTCGGCAGAAATGTGTTTTCTGTAGCCATCGTGAGAGGTTGAGAAGCGTGTGTGCGACGGTAATCTTGGAGATTCGACATCGCGACGGCGATGCTCCGTTGAATTCGCGCATGCGTTTAGTTCGTGTACATACAAATTTCGTGTTAATTAATTGGTTATTGGCATCGCATTATGTCTGTCACGTTCAATTACGTTACAATGTTCAGTGTGACAGTGGAATACTACGTCGAATATTCTGTTTTTGTGTTAATTTTAGAAGAATTTGTCGAAATATTTCGATTTTTGGGAACCACATGTCAATCAATCAATCGAAATATACTTTATTGTCCAAGAATAACAATTCTCATGACAAAACATACAGTCACCATGATAACATCACAAATATACAGTTAGCAAGGAGATTATAAATACACATACATTCACACTTACAATAAGCGGACATAGTAACATACAGGACTTTTCATGATGAGCGTTAATTAGCCGTTTCTGGCAAACTATTCAACGGATCAACCTGAAAATTCCACAGTATGCATAAGTCAATATGACCTACACGCCTAAAATATTTTAGACGAAGCGGTGTTGTCGCTTCTACTATAAAGTAGCGGCTTCTTTAATTTTTCAAATGTAACACCCCGTATATAATATCATATTATGATTCATTATCACTTTTTCAACAAATTCATATACTATTTCCCTATACCTATCTATTACCGTTTAGAAGA